AACAAAGTTGAAAAGACAGGGAACAGAATATCTTTTTGGTGGGGTGGGTGGTATTAGATAGGTGAGGGAGACTCAAAAGATAGCATTTTAGCCCTGGCTGGTGTGGCTCAGTGGATTGAGTGCCGGCCTGTGAACCAAGGGTCGCCAGTTCAATTCCCAGTCAGAGCACATGCCTGGGTTGCAGGCCAGGTCCCTAGATGGGGACGCAGAAGAGGCAACCACACATTGACGTTTCTCTCCCTCTCTTTCTCCCTTCCTTTCTTTAAGAATAAATAAATAGGATCTTAAAGAAAAAAGATAACATTTTACTCCTGACTTAGTCACTTATACACTGATGGTTCCAGCATGACTTAGAGAAATTGAAAGGGAAGCAGAAATAGAACTTTAAAAGGACAATTGTTTATTTCAAATTAATGGCAAATATAAAGGTCAATTAAAACCATATAAAAATCAGTATTATAAGGAAAAGCATATTATTTTTTTAAAGCCACCACACATTAAGAAACAGAATAACTCAAAGGTAGAAAATGTAAAATGATATGCAGAGGTGAACTATTAGTTATAACATTAAATGGAAAAGGGAAAAACTTCATGAAAATTAGATTTTTTAAAAACAACCCAACATGAGCCCTGTCTGGTGTGGCTCAGTGGATTGAATGCTGGCCTGCAAACCAAAGGGTTGCCGGTTCAATTCCCAGTCAGGGCACATGCCTGGGTTGTGGGCCAGTTCCCCAGTAGGGAGCTCATGAAAGGCAACCACACATTGATGTTTCTCTCCCTCTCTTTCTCCCTCCCTTCCTCTCTCTCTAAAAATAAGTAAGTAAAATCTTTAAAAAAAAACAAAACAGAGCCTAACATGATCATTACTAGAGGAACACATAACAAAATGATACAGAAAGTTTAAACATAAAATTATGGACAGGGTTCATTTATCTCTTAAAAACAGAGCAGAGAACATCAAATCAAAAAAATATTGCAATCCACAAAGAAAGTTATTTTTACAACAATCAAACATGAATATAGAATTATTACAAACTCTTCCATGATAAATCTCAGTGTTTCAAAATATTTTGAATACAACCTAAATGTCTCAGTACAAGAACGGTTAAATGTATTGCGGTGTATCAGGTGGTGGCCTTACATGTAGTGATTAAGAGTGATGTCGAAGTTTCTTTGTTCACAAGGAAGACTTTTACCAATACATTTTTGATTGAAGAAAGCATATAGCAGATAGTATGGACATTATTCTCCTACTTTGGTTAAAGCAGAACCAAAATGTTAACCCTTGTTACCACTACGTGGTGAAACTAAAGACAATTTAAATATTTCCATCCATACCTTTAATCCTTTTATGGTAAATACAGTAGGTTATATTATTATTTGCTACTATCCACTGCCTCACCCTCTGGGAGGATTATACTTTCGTGAAGCATTGACCTCAATTTGGCCACGTGACTTTCTTTGGCCAATAAAATGTGAGTGAAAGTAACTCACACATGCCACCTCCAAGGAAAAGCAGTAAGAACTATCCCGTGGTCCTGCTGTGGCTCTTTTCCTGAATCACGCGGGGGCTGCGTCTTCAGCCTGGACGAATAAATAGGATGTGGAGTAGGGCTGCAGCTGACCTCCAGAGGACATGTAAATGAGCAAGAAGTAAGCCTTTCTTGTAGGAACTTGAGCTTTTGTGGTTGTGTTACCGCATCACAATTTAGCTCAGGCTAGGTAGTCCCAGTTTCACATGTTTTTTTCTGAACACACACCAGTTATGAAGCCTATGAACAGCAAGTTCCAGAAGGCTTCCCTGCCACCTTTTGCTTTAGTTAGGTCCCTGGTCAGAAATCTGAACTTTATGTCACTCAGTGTAGATGCAGATGTTATAGTACTTAACATTGATAAGGAGGAGGAATGAGATGGGAAAATTAGATGTTTATCATGTTACTGGTATTTCCAGCCACAATGCTTTGCTCATTGAGTATAAAAATTAGTTAGTGTTGACTTTAAATCTATGGTCCTTTTTTTGGTGTAGAATTTTGTTTAAGCAGTTTCTAAAAATGTGCTTTGATAGAGGTGAAATAAGTATTTTTCTAACTGTCACAGCCATTCTTACACTCCAGAGACAAGGAATAAGTAGGTACAACCTACTAACAAAGTTCATACTTCCTTTTGCAATGCATTTTGAAATGGAGCAGATGATCCAACACTTGACTTATAATCAAGTCATAGTGATCTCATTCAACTTTTTATCAGGTACTTGAAATCTTTTTGGTTGAAAATAAATAAAAAGCTAATAGGAACAGCAGTAACCTCAAAAACCATCCTTAGAACAAATTAAATTCTCTCACTCGCCTTTTCTCCATTCTTTATATTCATAATTGCGATTTGACCAAAATGTTGCTCTTTCATCATAGACAAGTTATCCTGAATATGCCATTTTAAGTTAAAACACAAATGAAGATGTTAGCATTGGCGTTAATCAGGAAAAGTGAAGTTGGATGTGGTTAAGAGGAAAAAAAGAAGTGCAAAAGAGGAAATGTTGGCCCTTAATGTAGCTTGGATTGAATTTACTTCCAAATGGATAACAGTTAAATGAATTTGGTTGTCTCAGCCTCCTCTGTTGAGGGTGCTAAGCACATCACACAACCTCCGTACCTTGAGCTGAAGTATCAGCATCTAGCATCCTGGACCAGGAAGCAGAGCACTTTGCATTAAGGATCTGAGCAGTGTTCTTACTTTCTCTTTGCTGACACCAGAGCTTGGCTTGAGAAATTTTACTCACACTTATCAGATTACTTTCATAAAACAAAGGGGTTAGATGATCATTTACGTGTTGATTTATCACTACCTTTTGTCGATACCAAATGGAACCTTATCTGAGCCCAGGATAGAGCTCTACAGCTTGTTGCATTTCTTTTGGCCTAAAAACTAGCTTTGAGGCAAGAGAAAGTTTTCCAGTTTTTAGAGTAAGTAGCTTTTGTTTTTTCTGCAGTTGTAATGAAGATGAAATTTTAAGAAAGTATAACAAGTTTCATTCATTAATTGTCCATTTTTTTCATTTATAATAATTTGCCTTTTAATTATGGGATTGTTCTTTTGAATATTCTTTATAATCTGATAACCGTTAAAATCCTGCCTAACATATTCAGGGTCACATAATCTGTTAATGTAATGTTGCAGATTTTATATAGTCCTGTATAAAATTTAATTTATTTCCAGGTGCAGTTATATGATTTATACTAAATCACTCAATACATTTATGTCATTAACATAACCTATTAAACATTTGTCTTCAGCCTAAATTTCTCTGAGATTCAACCTACCCTTCCAAGTGCTTGTCTCCATTTCAGTGCCTCAATTGTACCTCAAGGACACATGTCTGAATCGTAGTCATGACCTTCTGTCAATTCTGGATTTCCTTTGTCCAGCCCTCACTCTGAATGCTGGAAACCTGGGAGTTAGTTATACTCTCAATTTCTCATCACCTCTCTAGTCCATCGTCTCCTGGTTAGGGCTTCCTCGTCGTCTTCATGTCCCTAATTTGGTTCTCCTAGTGGCTGCCAAAGTGTCCTTTTAAACAGACACATCTTGTTATACCACACCCCTTTATGTCTTCTTATGGTTAAGATCAAAATGCTGAACTTGGCCCATAGACCCTCGTGAGGCTTGGCCTCTGACTTTCTTTGACCCTTATGCCACTGTTTCTCTGTGCTTTGACCGTGGTGACCAGCACGGCTTCCTGGGTCACGCCACCCTGGATACCCAGACATCTATCCTTCAATTCTCAGCTCACACCTGCTGGCTCAAGGGTTCCTCTGACCTCCAGACCCAGTTAATTCTCCTTGCCATGTGTCTTCATAATGCTCTGAGAGGACTCTGTTTTCTTTGGCCTAAAGATTGGTTTCTGTTCTTCAGTGGAAGCTTTCTCTAACAGCCTGTGCCAAAGTACTTCCCCAAGTGCTCTTTTCTTCTTCCAACGAGAATTAGAACTAAGGTAGGGGCTAGAACTTGACCTTCTATCTTCTTAGAAGGGGATGAAGTTCACTTTAGTGGTCAGTCTCTTGAGTCACAGAATGGTGTGTAAACATTTAACCTCACACTAGTATGCTTTCAAACCATTTGTATTTTAGCAACCTCTGTTGCCAATTGAACAACGCTTCTCTCAGGCACAAGCTTTTAGCCTTAGTAATACAATGCAGACTTTCCTTATATTAATCCAAGTGAAAAAAGAAGTGGCCCTTGGCTGTGGGTCAGTGAAGCAACTCCAACATTACCCCAGTGTTGGGGCCTGCCTGTCAATCCGTAGATGCTTTCGAGCCTGTTGGTTATTGGCATTGGTGGGCTGTAGTCTTGAGGTTTAAATAACTGTAAATATGTGTATTCCTCGATCCTTCCTAAAGGCCAGATCACATGATACACAAAAGGCATGAGGCCTTTTGCCCTTTGTGACCGGCTGTCTTGTGTTGGATTTATCTGTCACATACATGACATGGCTGGGTTAAACTGGATACAAGTATGGACTGAGCTGTTATTAGAATCCACTGGGCAGGGGAAATTAAACTTCATGAGAAGAAACTGATGCACTTTGACATGAGGGGCCAGGAACATAGCACTGGAAGCTGCTTTAAAACAAAGAGGACATAAGGGAAGAGTGTGACTTGAGCATACAGTTTCTTCCTGTTTCTTTTTGTTGTTGTTGACGGACTTTTGTTATATATGAGTACTTTTAGCCTCCACCTTAGAAACCTAGAGGAAGAAACATTTCCTAATGTGTCATAGTTCTTCTTCTCACTAAAATTTTTCCTAAATATACTTTTCAATTTTTTTAAAATTATTTCCATGAGTTTTGTTTTGTTTGTTTTGCTTTGAGATGTTTTGGACATTCTGTTTGCCTTCCTCTTTTCTAGTCAAACCTGACTTGTGAAATGGACTGAAGCTGAAAATTCATCTACTTCTTTGTCTGAATTGGAGACACAATTGGGATGATCTTAAGTACATGCAACTAGACTCCAACTGCAGCTATGAGTTCGGACGAGAAGGGCATATCCCCTGCTCATAAAACATCCACTCCAACCCATCGAAGTGCCTCCTCTTCAACGTCCTCCCAAAGGGAGAGTAGACAGGTAAGAGAAGAGTATAAACTGCATTTCATTATTTTATGCAAATACAGTACCGTTAGAATATGGTGGGATTGCTAATTAATTCTGAAATTTTGTTGTGAAGATTTTTTTGTTCTACAGGAAAACTCACTAATTTCTGTAGACCTACCTGGCATTGTCATGAGGATCCTATACTTGCTTTTCCATTACTTAGGATCCTTTTTTAGAGCACAGAAGGGTGGCTGGAGCCCTGGGGCGCTCTCCTCATTGTCTGTACCTGGAGGTGGGAGCCAGCCTCTGGACCCTGGCTGTTTTGTCCACCCTCTCTTCATCCATGAAGGTAGAAAGGGACCTGAATCTGCAAAAGTCTTCTTTCAATAAGTCTCTCACTGGTCTGCAAAGCACCAACTTCTCTTTGGTGTTTCATGGAACCTAGTAATAAATACAGGAATTAGATTATAAATAAAATTATAATATCAGGGGATTAAGGGCAGTAAGAACGCAGGCAATGTTTAAAGTCAATATAGAAAATGAATTAATGTTGCTTAATTATTCCATTGAGTCAACTCTAAATTATTTTTGTTTACAGAGTTAATTCATTGCTACTGCAGTGGCTATTCTACGGTCAGAGTTGTATGGGGATTAGTTGTGTGAATTGTCTAAATTGTCAAAACAGGTGATTGTTTTGCCCAGTACTTATCTCAGTATTACTATGTATGATTATAATATTATCTTTGATGATATCATAATGTATCTTGGTGCCAAACTGCAAAGTCTACAATGAAGATTTTTGTTGTGTGACTGGAAGTTCACAGTAAGCAAGTGTTGTTGACTTTTTATAAAAACTTTTATTTAGAGAGACATTCACTTAGTAAACATTTTTGCAAGGTCCCCCCACCCCAAGTTTATGTATTCAAAATATATTGCTTGGTTTCTAGAAGTACAGACTACCAATTTTCATACTCTGGTTTCTCTTCAGATCGTATAAATCTTTCACCTTTTACTAAAGATTTCTGAACTACCGTTATTCAGTTGTCCATAGTATAGACCTGGGTCTTGAGACAGCTGGTTCCAGATGTGAATTTATTCTTTTAGATGATGGGAATGCAGGGAACATTCGGTCTACAACCCCTCCCAGCTCTCCCTCTCCCATTTCTAGCAAGAGATTCAAGGGAATCTGTAAGAATCAGGTATATCTTTTGCAGATTCTAAGCAGACATTTCTACTGTGGATCTTGGGGAATTTTTTACATTGTCCTTTGTTACAGAGTTCAATGAGGACGTTTACATCCTGTTCATTAGGAACAGTTATGTTATTAACTAAATGTGTGATTACACACTTTTGTAAATAACATACATTGGTTATAGCATTGCATTTGTAGAGAAAAGAAAGTAAGAGTACCATGAATGAAAACACATTATAAGTAACCACTGCATGCTGAGGAGATGCTTTCTAAGTTTGCCGTTGTAGTCTACCCTTCACCTGCTCCTCCGTCCTTTCTCATCATGGCTTTTCCATTTCCCCGTGCCCTGGGTCTTGGAAGGGAGAGGCATTTTAAGCAACATGGCCTTTCTGGCAGCTGAGGGAAGGAAGGGATGGACTCAGCTCACCCTGCAGGATTGCGGCAAATGGAAAAGACTGATGACAGCCACTTAAACACCTGTCATCACTGTTGACGTGCCCGTTGACCTGAGCTCCAGCGCCAGCACAACAAAGACAGTGAGATCCCGGCCTGCCAGAGGGGTGGGAAGCTGGAACGTGTGGCTCCTGGCCGGCTTGTGGATGGAAAGGTGTATGATGGGACTCGTGTAACATGTTCTTAAATTGATAATGAATTCTAGAAAACTAGGGAGACAGCATTCAAATGTTTATTATTGCTTCAGGAAGGAGTTTGCTTTCATTCCTGTTTATCTCAGCAAGTGGAAACACTCCCAAATACCTTCTCCTCAGGTTTCTTCCTGCCTCCTGTTTTGTGTCTTTTCATTTTTCTCAAGGGAAAGAAGAAAAAAGAACAATTACAGTTGTGTTTTTTCTTCCCTGTCTCTGTCCCTTCCTAGAATCCAGTGTTCACTTACAGAAATCAGAATTTTGAATGATCTTGTGCTGTGATAGGGTGCAGTGTTTTTATTTGCATCTGTTTTTGTGTGAAGACTGGTTTCATAGTGAAGGGACATAGAGGAATTGTGATAAATTGGTTTTTATTGAATGTCATTATTCTCCCAATTTGACTGGCATCTATGCAGATGGTGCCAAACTGCAAAGTCCATCCCTGTTTCTCTCCTAAATTGATCATACAGGTAAAGGATGTAGCACATAGCTGAGAATACTGTGGTGCCTTAGTGTTCATTATTTGTCTGTCCTCCCCAAGTTCTAGTCCTAGATCACTAATTAATTAATTGGACCTTCTTCCTTAGACGTACCAATGCCACCTTAAGTGACTGTATAAACCAGCTTGCTTCCGGTATAGTCATTATGTTATTGACCCAGGGTCAAAGCCATTTCTTTCTCCTTTGCCTCTCTCACATTCAAAAATTAGCAAGTTCTAGTTAATATTTCCTCCATAATATAATATTTTCTTTCTATTCCCACTGTTCGCTCTGTAGCCTGGACTCTCATCCCCTCGACCCAAGATCCTGCAAAGTCCTCTTGCCTCACCTTCTCCCCATGGCCTTGTAAGATCAAACTTCCTTAATATGGCAGATTCATGCCCAGAATCCTTCAAAGACTCTCAGTTACCTGCACAATTAAGGCCGTATTTCTTCACTTGTTGTTCAGCAACCACTGTGATCTGATCCAGCCTCATTGTCCCATTTTCCTCCCAACCTGTACAGTCTTGTCAGCTCCGGGTACCTAAAACTGCCTTATCTCTCTCTCCCTGCCCTTGTCTTTCCTGCATGGAAGTCCCACTGCCCTGCTCTCGATCTGATACCTGGTTGTGCTTCAAGGACCACCTTAGGCAGCCCTTTCACTGGCCCCTCAAATCCACGTTGCTCTTTCTCTTCTCTGAACTTTTATAGAAGTTTTTGACAATATGTGGCATTGTTTTTAAAAAGTCCTCACCCGAGGATATGTTTATTGATTTGAGAGAGAGAGAAACATCAATGTGAGAGAGAAACATTGATCAGTTGCCTCCCGTATACGCCCCAACCAGGGATCGAACCTGCGACCTTTTTGTTGTATGGAATGATGCTCCAACCAAATGAACAACCCAGCCAGGGCAATATGTGACATTTTTATATTGTTTTTTAAAAATGCACTGATCTGCTCAACTGCATAGTGAGCTCTTTTACAGACTACACACTCTAATTCTTCAGAGACAAGCCTTGAACCTCAAACATTTTAATATATCCTAGAGTATTTTTTTAAAGACCAGCAGCAATATTAGTGTTGTCTTTTTATTATAAAATTTCCATTCCAGATTTATTTGTCTTTCTCCCTTCCTCCTTCCTCATAGACTAATAAAACAAAGAATGTCTGCCAAGTGCATAGTAATAACTGCCAGCCCTTCCTCTCAGTCAATTATGTAGCCCAACAGGTGGAGGAGGGAGAGGAGTTAGGAAATGAAGTTATTCAGTGTTCCTGTGATTTCACTCAGTGTTTCTTCACCAATGAGAAAGTCAAGACTCCACTCAGTATTTAGCAATTTATAGAACTTTAGTAAATGCTTCATTTACATTTGGACCAAGTCTGATATTAGATGTTAGAACGTCTAACAGAATTGGCTGTGTGTCTGTGTGTGTGTGTGTGAGATTAACTGTGACTCACAAGCTGCAAGAAATATACATACTAAAATTTTCTAAAAGGAAATAAAGACGTTGAGTAGACATCTAGGATTGGTGCATAAACAAGCACTTCCTATGGATGCACCAAGGAAAGCTTGTCCCTCGAGGTGTTGCATGAAGAGAGGATTTGTCAAGTAAATTAGAAAAATGCTAAATACAGTTCTTTTTGCAATGTATATTAATAAATTAAAGACACCAATAATGTCTGCAGTTAGAACATTAACTGAGTGCTTCTAGAATGTAGTATATTGTGGAACTTATTTTATTTCCCTAAGATATGGATGTTAAAAATTCAGATTCTTTTTCTTACTAAGAAATTGAAAGATCTAGGAACACTAGGCCCAGATTCCAAACGACAGCACTGGACTGGGCTCAGGAGCCGCTTTGCCTTTAAATGGGACATTTTGTCTCTGGTCAGCTATAGTCCCTACCTCTTCTTACTGTATTTTTTTTTGGTAAATATCAATACTTTTAATTTAATTTTAATTATAGTTGGCATGCAGTATTATATTAGTTTCATGTATACAACATAGTGAGTCAGCATTTATGTATCTTCCAAAGTGAGACTAGTGACCGTCTGTTACTGTGCATAGTTATTACAGTATTACTGACTATATACAGTATTATCGACTACAGCCACAGTCCCTGCCTCTCCTTATTGTATTTCAATACTTATTTATGTTTCTTGCCTGGCCTCTGAAAGCCAGTGAATTTGCCAGCGGTGATCTTGGGTATCAAGTCAAGTGACTAAGGGTAATTTCCACTTGGATGTTAAAAAGACGTTTCAAACTAAGCATGTTCAAAACTGAACTCCTAATTTTCCTCTCAAATCTACTTCTTCCCAGTGCTTCTTATCGCAGGGAAGAGAACTCTTTTCATTTGGTGAGATCAAAAACCTTGCCAGGAGTCATCCTGGACTCCTCTCTTCTTCTGAAACCCCCTCCCAAACCCTCAGTGAATCTTCTTGGTTCTACCTTCAGGACATGCCTAAAATTTGACCACTGCTTACACCCCTTTATCCTGGTCTGACCCACCATCATTCCTCACCCAGATTGGTCTCCCTGCTTCCAACCTCACAAGTAGGCCATTCTTTACAGAGTAGTCAGAGCGATCTCGTCAAAACCTAAGTCAGATCAAGCTGCTTCTGTGCTCCAAGCCCTCCAGTGGTTTCCCCTGTCCCTCCCAATGATGTTTGAATTGCTGATTGTTGTCTGTAAGGTCGTTAATAATGTGGATCTGCTC